TATTTATATTCTCCGATTAAGAAATTGCGTATTAATTTATTCTCAGATTAAAAAATTTGTTAGTTGAGCGCAGTATTTAAAAAATTAAAAGTTTTTTTTTCGAGTAAAATTTGCAAAAAACACTAAATCGCACTTTTAAATTTTAATCATCAGCAAATCACATATATTACACATACCGCACGCATAATTGGGTTTACTAATTTTCCCCACTTCCCATTGGACGAATACAAATATCGTTTTCTATTGGATGAAACCAATTACATCACTGATCCGGGTGGCTAAAAATTTCCAATGTGCCGCAATTAAAAAATAAATTACTTTTCAAATATTATTTTCGCAATGATTACATATTGATTGAAATTTTTTTTCTTTTTTTTTTAAACAATTCTTTTTGTTTTTTAATACTAAACGGGTTTCTCTTTTAAGTTTAGCATTTTCAATTTTTTTTTTAATAGATAATTTTGCGTAAACGATTAAATAAATTTTCGCCAATTTTATCAAATATTATTGTAAAAATTTACTGTATTGTGTAAAATTTTTAATCGAAATAAACATACATATTTTAAGTCACGGCTTTTGTATTAATTATAATGAAAATTTCGAATATTGACAATATTTTTGACATTGAAGAGGATTTTGATATGGATATTAGTGAGGATGAGATTGACAATACACTTGAATTTATTTTAGATGCAACAAATAGTATTGGACAAGAATGGGAAATTGTAGATAATAATTCAGAGGTATCAGAGACGGAAAAAGTAAAAACCTATCAATTTCCAGTAAACAAATATATGAAATGGATTAAGAATCTTGAAAAGGTGGGTCTTAGCTATTATTGTCACAATCATAAGACTAAAATAAGAGCGAAGAGGAAAAATGAATGGATGGAAAGGTGGTATTGTCATCGTCAAGGGGAATACAAAAGTGTTGCCGGAAAAGATGCGAATAAAAAACCTCGATTAGTACAAAAAGTGACAAAGAAATGTGGCTATAAAAGCCATATTTTTGTTACACTTCCCATTAATTCATCAACAGTGATCTTGAATTATTATTACAAGCATCTTAACCATCACCCTCACAGGTTGAAAGATAAAAAATCAGGCACAAATCAGGTACCCAATTTTAAACTGATTACTACCTGATTACTACCTGATTTATGCATATTTTTGTACCAAATTTTTGGTATATATAAATCAGGTAGTAATCAAGTAGTAATTAGTTTAAAATCGGGTACCTGATTTGTGCCTGATTTTTTATCTTTCGACCTGTGTCTGGTCAACTGTCAGACTTGTACACGTTACCTCTTTCTGAAAATATTCATCAATTTATCCAACAATGTGCTCTTGAGGGGCTTGATGCTTTTAGCATACAGAAGTTTATGCAGTTTCGGGCAATTAAATTACAAGAACAGGTTTGCTTAATTTTTTTATTTTTTTTTTTATAATATCAATTTTTTTTATAATTTCAATCTTTTTTTTTATAATTTGATTTTTTTTAGATTTTTTTTGATTTTTTGATTTTTATAATTTTGTTTTAATTTTTTTTTTATAAATTCATTATTTGCAAATTCTTTTTTTGTCTGTGAATCCGTCTCATACTGTATATACTATATATGCATATATCCTGCATATAATAATTATTTGTAATTGTTGGCTGTTTATGTTATGATATACATATAAACAACCAACAATTACAATTAAATATTATATGCAGGCATATGCATGAGACTAAAAAATCTTCAATCTGACTAAAATCGAAATAAGCGATAAATTCGTTTTATTTTTATTTTTTTATTGTTCATTTTTTATTTTTATTTTTTCTATTTTTTGATCTAATTTCTCGATTTGATCATTATATTCAGCCAATCTCTCCTTGCTATTTCCATAATTAAATTCCTTAACTTCACAATCTAATTGTTCAGATTGTTTTTGAGCTTCACTTAAATTATTAATGGTTGCCATTTCAGCCTCAGTTTTCTTTTGCCTGAATTCATTTATTTCAATTTCAGTTTCTTGAAGCTTTGGTGTTAATTCCAATATTTGAGCATCAAACATTTTTGTTTTTAAATTCATTATTTATTTATTTATTTATTTATTTATTTATTTATTTTTATAAATTCGTTTTTTAAATTATTTATTTATTTTTTTTATAAATTCATTTTTTATTATTTTTTTTAATTTATAATTTTTTTAGGTGCACTCGTTGGAAAATTCTGGGGATAACTCGCAAAATATACAGATGCTACAAGATGGATTAATTACACAAGACGATATTTGCATGAAAGTTTATAACATTATGAAGATATCAGCTTTCCTTGATAATGATAAGATTCATTCTTTAGAAAAGTGGCAGAATAAGATAATCGGCAAGAATGGGGTTTGTATATTAAAGAAGCATAACGAGATAGAAGATAACGGTTTTATGTTTATGTTCCAGACAAAGGAACAAAAAGAGTTAATGGGGCTTGCACGAGTTATATGTTTAGACGGTATGTATGGAACAAATCACCACGGGCATCATTTATTTTTGCTTATTATATGGCATCCAATAACAGGAAGTGAATACCCGATTGCGTTCTTAATAAGCAAATTTAAAAGAACGTCGACGTTAAAATTGTGGTTTGATTTTTTAACGCGCGATAATAAGCATTGGAAGCCTGATATTTTTATGGTGGATGATGCAGGCAAAGAAATTAAAGCTTGTAAAGAGTGGTTTTCCAACAGTTCAGTGTTTTTATGCCATTTTTACGTTTTGCGTTCTTGGCACAGAAAATTGTGTTACAAATGTGATGCAAACGAACAATTAAAAATTGTTTGGGAGGACCTCTAGAGGCTTATGAAGATGGAAGAATGGAATGATGCTGAAGCTCAAGTCCACATTAGAGAAATGATTGATCAATGGAGAGCAATGGGAGTGGAAAAAATAAATAATTTTGCCAATTACTTTAAGCGCTGGTGGAAGCCAAAGTACGAGATGTGGATGGTTTGTTTAAGGGGGACTGCATGAGACATGATGGACACAAATAATTTAATCAAGTCATTTTATCGTAAATTAAAGTACACTTACATGAGAGGGCGACCAGGCAAGAGATAATCAATTTTATTATTTATTAATAATAACTAAATATTTTACTGTTTTTTATTTTATTATTATTATTATTATTATTATTATTATTATTTTTATTTTTATTTTTATTTTATTTTTATTTTAGTTGACTAATTTCTTAATTCTTACTATTACAGGTTGACAGCTTGATGGTGAAGTGCACCTTCTTACAGAAGTTGTGCTTTGTGACATGAACTTTGCTGTATTTTTAAATGAATTAAAATTTGGTAGAATAAGTCCACGGCAATGACAACAATAAATTCAAGAAGCTGCTGGAACTAATAATATTAATAACAATAATGTTTATAACCTTTAGCCTAGTATTTGGATAGTACATTCTTTAACAAATGATGATATCGAATACTTAGTATGAAGGAAAGATGATAGTGAGAACAGCTTTGATGTTGCCTTATACATTTGTAATTGTTGTGATTTTCAATCACAACAATTACCATGCAAGCATGTATTTTCTGTATTAGCGCAAATCAACATGTATAAGGTTATGGAGACGGAGAATGATCAACAATTACCAGAATCAGAATTTTTTAATTCTTCTGATTGTTCATCCTCTTTTACAGATAGGAGTGCACAATCTACAAAGTTAGAAGAGGAGCTTGTTGTGATTGCAGCAGAATGGAAAGATAAAACAAGAGAAGATATTTATAGTTTACGAATAGCTCTCCAACAAGTCACTCAAGCAGAGAGAGCAAGGATTGCAAGGATCGAATCAGTTCTGCAAGCTTCCAGCACTAATCCACAAATAGATCAAATCCCACCAAATATGAAAATCTGAAAACAAAATAAGTATTAATTTTTTTTTTTTGTTTTTATTTAAATTTGCTAGCTAATTACTTGACAATTTAGCAGTAGCATTTATTTTCAGTATTAGCAAACTAGCACCTATTGCAGTGTTGTATTAGGGTTAATGTACGATTTCTGAAAACTATTTTCCCGAAAGAACATAATACATACTGACTAATTAAGTTCTTTCAGGAAAATTGCTTTCGAGATCTTGAGTTACATTATTGTATTGGTATTATTAATTAGTTTGTAGAAGCATTTTATTTGCAGTATTTATTTGCAGTATTGTATTAGTATCAATAAAATGAAAAACATTTTAAATTCCATGTCAATTATTTTTTAACAAAAGTAAAAATCGCAGCACAGAATATAATTAAGGAATTTTGAAATGGAGTTGGGTATATTTTTAAATTATAAGCTTGTTGTGCCCAGAAACACTTATTTTAATGTTTTAGATTATTTCGATTTTTTTTTTTTCGTTTAACAAAATTTTTGAATTTTTTTTTTTTTTTTTGAAAATCGAATTTGCGGCTGTGCTAAGTGGCGTGATCCAATTAAAGACGAGATTTCAAACGTCCAATCGCAACTGGGGGGAAATTAGGGCTCCCCGCATAATTTACAAATTCTTATCGCATAAATTCTGTGTCCCTGGTACGGACCTAGCATAACCACCACGATCAGTTACGTACGGAGTTGAAATTAATTACTTGCCGAAATTTTAATAGTCGTAGTTAATAAAATAGGCGATGTCACACGACTGATTTTTCACCTGGTGTGCAATATGTAAAAAAATTATTTTACAATACCAGATCATTCCGCTAGTACATGATATGATTATAATCCCACACTATTTTAAAAATGGTGTGGGTTAGGGATGTTAATCGGTCCTTTGGGATCGAATCCTAATCGATCCTTCAAGGATCAGTAGAGATTCGATCCTTATATCACATGAAAACACAATACATTTTATAAGACTAAGAGAGTTATTATAACAATACAAAATTAATTTGATTGGATGGACTTATTCGATGGATTCAGTTCAAGATCTGATACAGGATCTAAATGTATTATGTTTTCATGTGATTTAAGGACCGAATCCAGGACGTCTTTTTAGATCCTAGGATCGAACAGGACTGGATTCGCAATTTAACATCCCTAGCGCTAGTGTGGGTATTATAAAATAGTTTTTTTATATATTGCACACCGGGTGAAGGATCAGTCGTGTAACATCGACGGTTCCTCCTGTTAGTTAATAATGAATTAATAATGACGATATCTGTTTATATATTGTAACTTGTCGTTAAAATTTTCCTTTCTTACCAAATATTTCATTAATGGAATCCAGTTATTCAATCAATAGAGTTCAAAAAAATGTTCGTAATAAAAGAAATTAATGAATTTAAAACCAATAAAGAAACGTGTATCGAATGCTTAACCCGTATAAATAAAGGCAAAAAACGGGAACATTAAGAGCAGAATATGAACAATATTCATGAATGCAAGAAAGTGCTATAGAACCTGAAGATACCGAAGATGTAGTTTATAAAGAACTATGAATAATATGGAAGAAGAGAGTGCACGAATGGATCTCAATGCAATTATAAATTTGTAAATCGAAAGAAAATATTGATGAAATCACATGCAAACTTAATAGCGATTGAGATTGTAAAGCTCTGTAAGAAAGTTGATGGATACTTTTATGTTTATCATAAGAAGCATTATATTAAGCAAAAGGTTTGATAAGTTTATTTTTATAATTTTGTATGTATTGTATTTTAGAAAAGTATTTATATTAATAACTTCCAATCTTGGTTCAACGGAATTCATATTATCCGTTAATTGAAGAAGCCGACCTGATGATGCACAACTTCCTTCAACTGTTCTTAACAATAACGATAATAATATTGTAGAAGATGACGAATCAAGTGAAGAAAGCGAATTGAAAATTATAGATCAATACAAAAAAATTCTTTATGAGGTATAACCTATTTATTGTTTTTATCAAATTAAATTATACTAATAAATGAAAATATTCTGATATAGGTGCTTGATCTTCTTGAAAAGTCTTATAACCTTCCTCAACAAAAAATAATTGAATCAATATTTCATGTCAATTCAAAAGATGATAGACGACATAAAGAATCTGAACCAAGCGAAAACCCTCCAAGAACCTGGGACACACGAAATAAATACTTTTTATTTTTTGGTAAACTTAGAAGTTAGGTAATAATAGTTTACCAAATAAATTTCGAATTATTTCGAATAAACACTTTTCTTAACGCAATAAAAATTTGTGATTACCAAATAAATTTATTTTTTGACAATAAAAAATTTTATATTTAATTTTTATATAATGATAATTTTTACGAGATCCGGTTAAGTAAAATCTCAGATCAGACTTTAAACAACGATTACGTAACTGATCGTGGTGGTTATGCTAGGGGCTTGATTAAGGTGCTTGAGAACACCCCAAATCTATTCCTTGAATTTAATTTATAGGTTTATGCTGATGACGTTGAATAAATTGCGTAATAATTTGATTGTTGGGTTTGTTAAATTTTCATACTCAGAGACTTTTCTCAATAGCTCTTAAAATAAAATTGAAGCTTGATCTGTCGAAAAAAAATAAAACATAAACTTTATTTAATATATTGTGCACCAGAAGTTATTGGAAACTTTTAACTGCAAATTAGACAAATGAAACGGGATATATTTTAAACAAATATCAGGGTGAATTAATTATATGTTATGGTAATTACAAACAATTGTGAAGTCTTATAAGAATAAAAATTATTGTAATTACGAAATAAATCTTTCATAGATTTAAAATTTAACTTAATGCGAATAAATTCAATAAAAGAATGCAATCGATTAAACTATCGATAATCGCGAGGTTTTTACAACCCCATAAATCTGGTTAATTCAATACTTCGGACGTAAGAAATTTTACAATTTATTATCGATTAAAAATTTATCACGCTTAATATAAAAGATAATTTAAATCTATTTGACATAAGAATTTACTAATAATCGAACAAAAAAAAAAAAGAAAAATTCAATACTCTCAACGTAACAAATTTAAGTCTTTTTCGTGCAAGTTTTATTTGATTGATAAAATATGTAATTATTTAATTTATTTTTATTACAT